AAAGTAAATCACTTTAACGCAGCCTTATTTCGACTGCTTAACTTTATAGTTTTAACATTGCGCGTTTGCAATTGGGGGGAGAAATGTTCATTTCTGAACAAATCAATAGAACAAGGGCTAAATCTCAGCAGATCGTAGTACAAGACTACTCTCATGCTTACAACACCCCGTTCTGTAGTTAAGTCGTCTACAAAGGATTTATCTTTCCCAATATTTGAAATTACAAATCAGCCTACTCTCCACCGCCAGTACTTGACAGGCAGCGGAGTGCGTTGCAATTGTATGATGTTGGGTGTCCAGAAGACACCTATCGCTATTCGCGGCACATCGGGAAAGGTGATTATCGTCTATTCCAGCATGGATTCTGACTTAGAGGCGTTCAGCCATAATCCTACAGATGGTAGCTTGGCGGCACTAGCTTTTCAGCTAACCGCAGTTACCAATTATCTGAACCAACGGTTCCTCTCGTACTGGGTTGGATTACTGTTTAGACAACGAACTCATCAGTAGGGTAAAACTAACCTGTCTCACGACGGTCTAAACCCAGCTCACGTTCCCTATTAGTGGGTGAACAATCCAACAATTGGCGAGATCTACTTCGCAATGATAGGAAGAGCCGACATCGAAGAATCAAAAAGCAACGTCGCTATGGACGCTTGGCTGCCACAAGCCCAGTTATCCCTGTGGTAACTATTCTGACACCTCTAGCTTAATATTCAAAAGAACTAAAGGATCGATAGGCCACGCTTTCACGGTTTGTATTCATACTGAAAATCAAAATCAAGTGAGCTTTTACCCTTTTGTTCTCATGAGATTTCTGTTCTCATTGAGTCGGCCGACCCGTTAGCTTGGGGACGATATGCCATGGTTGCTCGCTGTCGCTGCCCTAGGATCCGGTTGAATGCTCGAAAGAAATCAGACATAAAGCCTGGCTCCCGATCATGTCTAATCATTTCGCTAGCACCAAATCTTCGGAAAACACACTCCTCGTACGATTCCGCAATGGTTTGCGCAGTTCTAGACGCACTAGCTTTGGCAATCACATATCCGGTAAACAGGTCCACCCAAAATAACAATTCTGTGTTTCCTTTGAACGACTTGGGCAACGAAGGGATATGATCCATGGCTATGATCTGGAAAGGGTAAGTCGCTCGGACATTCCCAGGTGACTCCCCTTCGATCGTAGGTCTGCCCTTGCCTGTCTCACAATCCACGCATTCACCGACATATCGTTGTACACTCTTGAATAGTCCTCTCCAATGGAAACATTCCCGGATCCGTTGGTAGGTCCGACCAATGCCCTGATGTCCGCCTTCCAAGCTAGCGTGGTAGTGGTGTAGGACATCCTGTTGCAAGGTTTCTGGCATCACCAATCTCATCAATCCATCCCGATCCTCGTGGACTCTCTTCGTAGGGGGGCAATAGAAGAGCAAGTCGTTCAGATCCACTGCGTAATCCGTAGCGATAACGCTGTAGGATTTGGCATCCTCCCGACTTAAGTCTCGTACATCCCCCATCAGATACTTCTTTAGTCCCAGGATCCACGCTTCCTCATTCTGTGCTTTGAGGATCCGCTCGATGCGAACTCTCTTCACGAATGTTTCCTCGAGGATCGGGGGGCTGGATCCAATCTTTCCTCTGGACCTAGTGACAGCCATCACCTGGACTGTCCTTTTCCCGGATCCAACTACCACCACTTCGTCAAGTCGGTTCAACGTAACGAGATCCTGATGTTCGGCTTCTCCCTCCACTTCGACACCACATTGATTCCGTAAAGCGGCACTGGCCAAACTATCCGCACTGGCATTCCAATCTCGCTTGACATGCACCAACTCGTGATTCAACCAACCACGCAGGTGGATCATCACTTTCTGCCGTAACAGTGTTAGGGCCGGGGCCTTGCGGTCAATCTCACCTCGCACCTGTCTGATTACCAAATTTGAATCCACACAAATCACCAGCCGTTTTGGATCTTGTCCCTTTAGTAAATCCAAACCCAGAAGGAGTCCGTTATACTCCGCTTCATTGACGGTGAGGCCTTCCGCGTAAGTGGATCTGGCCCGTACAACTTCCCATCCGGGCAATCTCCACAGTATTGCACTGTATGCTCCTCCTCCGCGTCGTACACGAGCGGATCCATCGAAACTCAGGACGTATAGATCCTCATCCACCTGTACCGTTGGGATCGGGATCTGGATCCGGCGTTTGGGCTCTTTCTTAGGGGCGATCTTAGTCAGCGCCTCATCCATCTTAGCTCGAGGAGTGATGCTCGCGGCCAAGACTCCCAGGATCTCGTCTTCCCCTTTCGAACATTTCACAATCTCCAGCGTCCAAGGCGAGAGTAAAGCTGCCCACTGTCCCAAACGTCCTTGCAACCCGGCCGACTTGAACAGCCAGGCTAGCGTGGAGTGTCGAGTCAGGATCCGGATGGATCTTCCCACTAGCAGGTTATAATTTAGATCCAACACGCGCAGGAGCGCAAGTATCTCTTTCTCCACCGCTCCGTAGTTCAGTTCATTCGGCTTCAGTGTCCGGCTGACAAAGGTGACTGGATGACAGATCCCCTCATGTTCTTGCACCAGAGCTGCTGAGACTGCCCAGTCACTGGCATAAACTATTACCGTAGGTTGACGTTCCGGATCGAAATGACGGAGGATAGGCGTGGTCGCGATCCTGTTCCTCAGTTCCACGAATGCGTGTTGAGCTCGAATCCACCGAGATTCTGCCTTTTCCATGTTCTGATCCGTCGTCTCTATCCAGACTGGATCCTCTCTCTGTTGGTCTCGGAGTGGATCCAGCTCCTGTGTTAGGTCCTCTTCTGGCGTCGTACCACTTGGATTCCTTCGTGGATCCGACATCTCCCGGGCCAGAGCTTGTTGGATTTTCATCCGGACAGCTGGAGCGGTCATCGCAGCAAATCTACTCTCTTATCATACAACACTGCGGCAACAAGCGTAATCTTTGTGGTGAGTGCTTTCTCAGAATAAGAGAATGTCCTGACGCGGGTCACTATCCGAATCAGTGACAATTTCAGTGATTATAGAGGATTGGTTGTTGGCACGGGTGCAAGTTGCCTGTGGTGATTAGCCATGACGAGCAGCACCCGTATGGATGACGATGGATCTGATATGAGCGATGTACGAGAAGCAGATCACCAAGACTTACTCG